CCCCAAAACCCCAAAACCCCAAAACCCCAAAACCCCAAAACCCCATTTATCAAAAAAATTCCAAAATCTATAAAAATATAAAAAATGAGTAATCTTTACAGGAAAGAAAAGATGATACAGCAGAAGAGGGTACAGCAGATGAACCCAGTAGAGATGCAGCAGCGTAAGTGGAGAGTTTTAAGGAATAGAGATGGGCTCCAGACCTGTAGAGAACAGCCAGATCCATATACAGCAGAAAATGAGAGAAGCTATGGATAGAATGGAGAGATATAGCACTAAGCTCAATATGGTGCTTTATAAAAGGAAGAAGTAGGTGCTGAGGAGTTATTTTTAGGTTTCATGAGAAGAGAAGGGAGAAACTTAACCAATACGAAGCTAGTAAAGGCGCTTCAGTACAGAAGGTAAGGTACTGAGTTCTTATTAGTAGGAACAAGAGTTACAAAGTCTAGTAGAGCATTATGGTGTTGTTAAAGAGGGGATCAAGAATTGTGGGATTATTTTTGAGTGTTTGAAGTTCTTAGAGGATATGATGACACCTCAATCAGCGAGGATGAGAAGAGAGCCACACTAAGCTCTTTCTTTTAAAAAGTTTCAATCAGTTAGGTGATGCTGGGGTTTTGGGGTTTTGGGGTTTTGGGGTTTTGGGGTTTATTGTTTGTGCTGAATGTGGATTATTTGGATTGGCTTATACTTTATTTACTTTTGTTTTAAGATATTGTTTAATGGTATTGTTAATACTTTAGTTATGAGATTTCTGTGAAATAAATAATTAATAAATAAAAATCTAAGTCTGTCTAAAAGGTAATTTATTTTGATGTGAATCTTTAACGAGCCAAGCACTCTAAGACTATTTCATAAAGATTTAGATAGAGCTACCTTGAGTATTTGTTAGCATGTTGTATCTAACAAGCTTAAATCTGTGATAATCCAATTTGCTTCTTCTGACAAAGTAAAATATCTCATCTTGTCTGACATCAAAGTAAGCTTCTTCAAATGGATCTCCAAGACTTGTCTCGATTTCTAAATATAGTTTTCAATCTTACCTTGATAAAGCTGATTAAAGTCATAATTGAAAGAGTAGTGATACTCTGGAGACGATAAGTTCTGAACAAAGGAATATGGCAATAAGGAAGTCCTCCTCTGCGTGGGAATTCACTGAATCAAGGCTATGCCTGTCAAAAATGTCAAAATTTGAATCATAATTATATAAATTTCCCAATAAATCCCGAATAAAAGGGGTTTTGGGGTTTTGGGGTTTTGGGG